GATAACAGGGTTGGAACACTTTCCCTATGAGGAAAGGTTAAAGCGCTTAGGACTCTTTAGCTTGGAGAAACGACGGCTGAGGGGTGACATGATCGAGGCTTATAAGATTATGCATGGGAAAGAGCAGGTAGAGAAAGAGGTACTTGTCTCCCTTCCTCACAATGCAAGAACTCGGTGGGCACTCCATGAAATTGCTGAGCGGTCGGGTTAGAACAGATAAAAGGAAGTCCTTCTTCACCCAAAAAGTGATTAACACTTGAAATTCACTGCCACAGGAAGTGGCGGCGGCTACAAGCATGGACGGGTTCAAAAGGGAATTAGCACTGCCACAGGAAGTGGTGGGTGCTACAAGCATGGATGGCTTCAAAAGGGAATTAGATAAGCATATGGAGCAGAGGTCCATCAGTGGCTATTAGCCACAAGGTATAGCTAGGGGCTCTGGGGCAAGTGATGCTCTGTCTTCTTGGTGCTTGGGGGGGGGTGTCAACAGTGGGAGGGCTTCTAATGTCCTGGCCCCACTGGTGGACCTCCTGATGGCACTGGTATTTCTGGCCACTGTGTGACACAGAGTGTTGGACTGGATGGGCCTTTGGCCTGATCCACCATTGGCATCTCTTATGTTCTTATCCCGTCTCACACAGGGGCCAATCAGTCCCTCTGGAGGGCTAGCAACAAGGCAGAGGGGCCGAGGCCTTCCCCTGAGAAGAACACCAGAAGGTCTCACTCAGGGGCCAGCCAGTCCCTCTGGAGGGCCAGCAACAGGGCACAGAGGCCGAGGCCTTCCCCTGATGTTGCCTCCTGGCTCTGGAATTTTAGAGGTTTAGTGCCTCTAAATGTGGAGGTTCCCCTCAATCACCATGGCCAGTAGCCACTGACAGACATCCTCCATGAATCGATCTAATCCACTTTCAGTGTTGTTTGTTCCTGTGGCCATCACTACATCCTCTGGCAGCGAATTCCACATTTTAATCACTCTCTGTGTACTTCCTTCTGCCCATCCTGAACCTAGTGCCCATCGGCTTCATTGGATGCCCTCGAGTTCTGGTATTTTGGGAGAAGGAGAGAAACGTCTCTTTGTCCACTCTGTCTACCGGACATAATTTTATAGACCTCCACCGCATCCCAGCTCAGTCCTCTCTTTTCTCAACTGAGAAGTCCCAGACGCTTCAGCCTTTCCTCACAGGCAAGAGGCTCCAACCCCCTAAAACTAGACTATTCATATTCTTAAGGCCAGACTGTGTAGGGTGAATTCTAATATTTTATTTTATGATGTTTTTTTAAGTGGTTGCGTGCACATTTATTTCATTTTATTAAATTAATAGAATACAATAACAATTGGAATTACGATAGTTCTCAGGTAGAATTATTAACCCGAGGTCAAGACGGTTAACAAAGATCGTATTGTACTATTCCCAACAATATAAACATTCTATCAAATGCATTATCTTTGCAACTTCTGGAATTTCTCCTTGTACTCTTAAATATTCTAAAATAGGATTCCAAATGGCTATAAAAGTAGATTTTATTTTTTCATCTGGTTTGCACGCCAAATCAGCTGAAATCTTGGCCGCCATAAAGTGTGTCCACAATTTATTATGCCATTGTGTCAGTTTTGGAATCGCTGGATCTCTCCACTTTGAAGCTATAGCTGACTTGGCTGCTGACCAGTGTTCCCTCTAAGCTGAGTTAGTGTGAGCTAGCTCACAGTTTTTTAGCCCCCGGCTCACACATTTTTGTCTTAGCTCAGGAAGGAGGGCTCCAGAGCAAACCAATTTATGCAGTAGCCAAATCACTTGCTCACAACTTTAATGCCAGTGGCTCACAAACTAGAATTTTTCCTCACAAGATGCCACAGCTTAGAGGAAGTATTGCTGCTGAGAGTAAAAGTTTCTTTAATGTGAAAAGGTAAGTTCACACCAAAGTCTACATGTAGAAGCAATACCAATGGCTTGAATTCTACTTGAATACCAGTGATGCCTTGAATTTGATTGATAATTCATTTCCAGAATGTTTCTAGCTTGGGACAACTCATCCAACAATGGAGGTAGGGCCCATTGTTACCACACTTTCCCCAGCGTTTGCATGTTTGCGGTCCCTCCCTGTGGCAGAAAAGTGGACGGAGGGTGCGGTCCGAAGCCCAAACCGAACGGAAGAGCTGCGGGGGACTTACGCTGAAGATCTGCGGCATCTCCAGGAAGTAGAACTGGCTCTGGTTGTGGTTGAACTTCTGCAAGCAGGAGGCGTACTCGTTCTTGCTCTCCTCGGCCATGTGGCTACGCAGGTTGGCCTGCTGCTTCGCCTGCAAGACGTCGGAAAGAGCTGCTAAGTCCAACTTGGGGGAGAAAGGCAGGGGGATAAACCTTTCAGAGACATTAGTGAGTGGGAAAACATGGTACCCTTGGGTTCCACGGAGCCCGCTAACACCTTCCCCGGTGCCCAACAAGGGTTTTTAGAAAAGGAGGTGGGAGCAGGCTTCTGATTTGCCACTGGAGATTTGACTGGCTGTGCACATTTCCTAAAATTGGCAAGAAGCTACTGCTGCCACAACGCCAAGGTCTTCACTGTGTGACTGAAAGTCAGCTGCGGCTGCCATTTTCTGACAGGCTCCGCCTCCCGCAGTGGCCATTTTGTGGCTGGCTCCGCCTCCTGCAGTGGACATTTTGCGGCTGTCTCCGCCTCCTGCAGCAGCCATTTTGTGTTTGGCTCCGCCTCCTGCAGCGGCCATTTTGTGGCTACGCCCAGTACGCTGTGTCCGAATTCCAAAGGTGCCTGCAGGCTCAAAAAAGTTGGGGACCCCGGACTACGGTATAGTATACTCTGTTGTAGGGAGGGTGGAATAACAGTATACTCTACAGCAGGGTGAGTGTTGGTTTCAGATCCAGATCGCGGCATTCACGAAACCTTTTGTTTAGATTCTTTAATATTGTTCTGAAGTGTTTGGAATTGTTATTGCACTCAGGTAACATTCCTATAGGGGGCCGCAGTGGCTCAGAGGTTAAGAGGCTGAGCTGCAGACTGGAAGGGCTATAGTTCGGCAGTTCGAGACCCAAGTGCCGTGTGACGGAGTGAGCTCCTGTCCCTGGCCCCAGCTCCTGCCAGCCTAGCAGTTCGAAAACAAGACATTGCAAGTAGATAAATAGGTACCGCTTTGGTGGGAAGGTAACAGCGTTCCGTGCGGCTCGGCATTTAGTCATGCCGGCCACATGACCCTGGAGAAGTCTTTGGACAGCGCTGGCTCTTCGGCTTGGAAATGGAAATGAGCACCGCATCCCTAGAGTCGGATTCGACTGGCTTTCGGGCAAGGGAAACCTTTACCTTTACCTTAACATTCCCATGGGTTTCATGGAGAAATGTATTTCTGCATGCAACTTCGTCATGTATGTGTGTGCGTCTCACGTGGCTTGCTCACCGGCAGGCCCAAGTGGCACAGCCCAGACAGAGACTCAACCCTTTAATTAGGCTCACTGACTTCTCCAGGATAGTTATGACGATAAAATGGGATAACCCCAAGAGAGGAACCCCTGAGATGCTCAGAGGAAAGACAGGATACAAATGCAACATGTACTGCATTGCTGTTGTTAATTTGTTTACGATGCATTGTCAAGCACAAATATTAAAAGATTAAAAGTATATTACTTTGAACACTCAAAAGGGCATGGGGGAGGGGAGGGGGGGTTGCCATTCAACCCAGTCGCTGACCTTTTCCACATCGGCCTTGGTAGCGTTGATGTCCTGATCAAGTTTTTCAGCCGTCAGAACTGCTTTCTCGGCCTCCCTGCAGTCGCGCTCGAATTTGCGTTTGCTCTGTGAGGAAGGGACACATACACAATCAAGCGGTGTGATGGATTGTGGCCCTTGGGGGGCTTACTGATCATGCACACTGGAACAGTGAAATGTTTCGACTCCTGCACGCTCTGACAAAGAGCGCTGTGACTCTGGGATGCCGATCCCTCCAAAATCTTGCTGGTCTCCCCCAAGTTTTATTTATAATTTTTCATATCATCAAAAACAGATTATCTCATACAGTAACTTATTTACAATCTTTTGAGTCTACAACATTATTTATTCTCTCACCGTATATAAATTCGATTCCATCTTTACCTATATATTTTGTCATCTTTTCCTTGTAGTATTATTGTTATTTTATCCATTTCAGCTATCTCCAACAATCTATATGTTATTTCTTGCATTGATGGGCTTTTTTAATCTTCACCTTAAGAACACGACTCACATTTTCAAGTTGCTTGAAGGAATTCTCCAGCTGCTGCTGAGCCCTTCGGCCCTCTTGCAAGTGCTGCGAAGGGAAGAGCAGGTTACAAGGACAGAAGTCATCATTTAGAAGTCTATCATCTTTCCCAAATCCCCCTTTGGTCTTATCTTTTTGGGTAGATCACAGTTGGCACACCTGGATGCCCTGTGGACCACAGGTGTGCATTCTTCTCTATCCCCATCCATAACAGCAGCATTTTGCTTGCCTCAGACCCCCACCTCTATTCCGCCCAACAGAGGGCTTAAAAAAAAAAAAAGTATGTATCAGGAATTTCCAGATCGATATAGCATTACAATTGCTATAATGTACTGGGTCCCAACACTTATTGTAAAAAAACAAATAAATTCTCTAGCCCTCATTGATGTGAGAGCCAGTTTGGTGAAGCGGTTAAGAGTGCACAACTCTAATCTGGGAGAACCGGGTTTGATTCCCCACGCCTCCACATGCAGCTGCTGGTGTGACCTTGGGTCAGTCACAAGTTCTCTCAGTGCTGTCCTCTCAAGGACAGTTCTCCAGGCCTTCTCTCAGCCCCACCTACCTCACAGGGTGTCTTGTTGCCCCCTATATCACACCTACCTAGTTCTCCTCCAAGAAATTTCTCCAAAAGAGGGCCTCTGAGAATGTCCATTCAAGATAAAGGCCCCAAACTGGCTGGAATACCAAGCCCCACTTGGATTTGTAGAGGTAATTTGAGTTCTTTGGATCCTGACTACAGCAAGCCAGTAAATACTCTTCATGCCACCCCCAGGAACATCTGAGGGTGGTGTGGAAGCTCTAATCATCAGAAATAACTGATGGGAGCTACTCTTGGGGCCAATCCAGTCAGACAGTCTCTATGAGGGCATAGCCAATTGTCCAAGACAATCCAAGGCAAACAGCACCAGAACCGGATCTGACCTCCGGAATCACCAGAATGACAACCGCCGCAGACTGTTACGTGAGTACTTTAGAGGGGGGGATACTTTACCGATTTTCTCTCCTGCTTCAGCTCCTGAGAGTACTTGGCCAGTTCCACACATATCCGGGTCAGGAGGTTCTCTGCGACGACCTCGCGCTGCCCGGCGAAGTCGTTCAGTTCCCGCACCACTTGTAGGAAGGCCTGGTACTGGCAGAACCTGCCGAAGAGGAAACAGCCCGTCAGTTAATCAAATGCTAAACTTGCTGGCTCCTGTATCAAAAGAGCACACCGCCTGCTCCGAATATTTACGGACTGGGAAGATGGCGCCTACCCTGTTGACCCCTTGAAACAGAAGATGTAACTGGAAGGTGTGTGTGTGTGGGGGGGGGTGTCAGTAAAAGAAGGATTAGTTGCTGCAGATTTTCCAGGTTGTGTGGCCGTGGTCTTGGCACCGTAGGACCTGACGTTTCGCCAGCAGCTGTGACTGGCATCCTCAGAGGTATGACACAGAAAGATGGAGTACTCTCTGTGTCAAGGTGAGAAAAAAATGGTAGGCAGGTAATTTATATTTACTCCAGAAGGTGGAGTAGGGCTGAGTCATTATCTTGCAGGAGTTCCCCAGGCTATGAACATGCTAAAGGAGGAGCTTTCCTAAGGAGGTTCTTTTGTATACTGGCTGCGGTCACACGGAGCATTAGGCACACTAGAGAGACGGAAGATAGGCGGATTTTCCGGGCGCGATCTCCCCGCCACATCTGGGAAGCGTAGAGCTCCCGTGGCGAACCTGAGGCTTCCCGCCGAAGACGCGCGGTTAAAAACTAGTACCTCGGAGGTACTAGTTTCCAGTAACCGCAGGGCAAGGTCGGGCGTCTGATCACGTTTCCGGTGGTAGTTCCGAAGCCCGCCCATGCCCCCTCGTATAAAGGTGTTTTTTTTTCAACTGCCCATTGGGTTGTGCACAAGCACACAACGGGGCATGCACACACTTTGGTGTCCGAAAAACAATCACCCGCTTGCCGCGCCGCTTCTTTGCCACGGCGCAGGATTGTGGTGTGCTCGGCACCTCCCCCCTACCACGGGACCTCCACGGTACGTCTGCTGGCGCAACCGCGTGTTATTTTTCCCTGGGGCAAACAGCCATGCCTCCCCCCAGCGATATCCGGCCCGTGTGACCGGGGCCATTGATTGTTTTCTGAGGAGGTTTCCTGAGGAGGTTCTTTTGTATGTGGATTGGCTGTTGAAATTCTAATCTTATCTGTAGTGCTATTGTCAGATGTAGAGCCTTTTGTGTTTTTCAGGACAGGAAACCATGCCCTATTTATTTTTAAACTCTCTTCTTTCCTGTTGAAATTGTGTTTATGTTAATGGATTTCAGTGGCTTCCTCGTGTAATCTGACATAGTAATTGGAAGTGTTGTCCAGCCTTTCAGTGTCTTGGAACAGAATACTGTGTTCTGTTTGAGTTAGGCTATGCTCATCCACTGCTGTTTTTTCAGGTTGCCCAATCTGCAGTGTCTTTCATGTTCTTTTATTCTTGTCTGAATGCTACGTTGTGTGGTCCTGATATAAACCTGTCCACAACTGCATGGTATGCGGTATACTCCTGCAGAAGTGAGGCGGTCTCTTCTGTCTTTTGCCGATCGTAGCATCTATTGTATTTTTCTGGTGGGTCTGAATACTGTTTGTAGGTTGTGTTTTTTCATAAGTTTTCCCATCTGATCAGTGATTCCTTTGATATATGGCAAAAACACTTTTCCTGTGGGAGGCTGTTTTTCCACAGTTGTTTGTTTTACCTTTGGTTTAATCGCTCTTCTGTGAGGGTGGTGATTGAAGGTTTTGTGTAAATAACGGTTCGTGTGGGTTGGTTTTCTGTAGACCTTGTGACCTAATTGAAGGTTAGTTTTCTGGATGACCATGATATCTAGAAATGGGAGTTTACCCTCAACTTCTTTTTCCATGGTGAATTGTATGTTGGAGTGGATGTTGTTGAGGTGGTCTAAAAACTCCATCAGTTCTACTTCTCCATGGCTCCAAATGATAAAGGTATCATCAGCGTGCTATAACTGGGCTGAGAGGGCTTCCCATGGCCCTCTGTTCATGGAATTTGTTATCCCATTGGAAGTAACTGGTTGTCAAACAATGGTGGAATAAGGCTGTTATGTCGTCTGGAAAAATCTGATTAAAAAGCGCAAGTGTGTCTTTTACCGGAACCTAGAGAGCCAGTTTGGTGTAGTGGTTCAGTGTGCGGACTCTAATCTGGGAGAACCGGGTTTGATTCCCCACTCCTCCACTTGCAGCTGCTGATGTGACCTTGGGTCAGTCACAAGCTCTGGCACAGCTGTCCTTGAAAAAGAGCCGTTTGTGTCAGAGTTCTCTCAGCCCCACCCGCCTCACAGGGTGTCTGTTGTGGGGAGGGGAAGGGGAAGGAGTTTGTAAGCTGCTCTGAGACTCCAAGTGAAGGGCGGGGGGGGGGTATAAATCCAATCTCTTCTTCTTCTTGGTAAAGAGAGATACACATCAAAACTGACGAGTATGTCCTGTGGGTTAAGTTTCAGAGAACTGATTTTGTTGATGAAATGTGTTGAATCTTTGATGTATGTTGTGGTTTCTCCGATGTGATTCTGTAGAAGATTGGCCAGGTATTTAGCTAATTCATATGTCAGGAAACCAATGGCACCCACAATGGGTCGGAGTGGGACTGAGTCCTTATGAATTTTAGGGAGTCCATACAGTTGTGGTGGCTGTGCTTCTGCCTTGCATAGTTTTTTGTGTGTGTGTCGGGATGAAGTGAGGAATTCCTGATCAGTGAGCTTGTTTGTCTGGTGGTATTGCAGGTAGGATCTCTTTTTCGTTTTTTGTATGTGGCAGTGACCATAAATTCTCTAATCATATCTTTGTATTCTTCTGTTTTCATGATCACTGTGATCACCTCCTGGAGTAGATACAAATGACTTGCCTACCATTTTTCTTCTCACCTTGAAACAGAGAGTACTCCCTCTTTCTGTGTTATACCTCTAAGGATGCCAGTCACAGCTGCTGGCGAAACGTCAGGTTCTACAGTGCCAAGACCACGGCCACACAACCCCGAAAATCTACAGCAACGAATGAACTCTGGCTGTGAAAGCCTTTGACAACATAAAAGAAGGATTACTTTGCAGACGGAGACGGCCCATATTTGTGGTGGAATTAAAAAATTTCAAGACAGTGTCACACTTTATCATGGCTTCCTCTGACTTAACAATGAGTTTAAAAAAAAGAAAAGAAAAAGAAACGCTACTTATCCAGCCCACAAAAGTGCTCTGAAAATCAGGGAAATGGGAAGAGGGCCTGTGGCTATGTGGCAGAAGAGCCTCTGCTTGGCATGCAGGAGGTCCCAGGTTCAATCTCCAGCATCTCCAGCTAAAAAGGACCAGGCAGGAGGTGATGGGAAAGACCTTGACCTGAGACCCTGGCTCAGTGGCAGAGCCTCTGCTTGGCATGCAGAAGGTCCCAGGTTCAATCCCCGGCATCTCCAGTTAAAAGGGCCAGGCAGGAAGTGATGGGAAAGACCTTGACCTGAGACCCTGGCTCAGTGGCAGAGCCTCTGCTTGGCATGCAGAAGGTCCCAGGTTCAATCCCCGGCATCTCCAGTTAAAAAGGACCAGGCAGGAGGTGATGGGAAAGACTTCCACCCGAGACCCCGGAAAGCTGCTGTCAGTCTGAGTAGACAATATCGACCTTGATGGACTGATTTGACAGAAGGAGCTTCATGAGTGTGTTCACGGGTAAGTGTTTAACTCTTACACGCCATTCTGTTCCCTCATGCGAACTGCCTCCTGAATCTGCCAACAGCTTTGCAGGAGGACAAAAGTAATTATGGAGCCTTCCTAGCAATTAGTTGAGAGTAAGTCGGATACCTGCCTTTCCCTCCCCTCCCCAAAGTTCAATTGCAGCTATAAGGAAACAGATCAAGGGAAACTGCACAAGAGGAATAACTCAAACGCATCCTGGTGTTTCCCAAACAAGGACGGGCTTGCACAGTTTCCCTGTGGTTCCTAAACAGTAGAACACCCAGTAGCACCTTTAACAAACTTTATTGTAGCATAAGCTTTCGAGAAACACAGCTCTCTTTGGCTGAGCGCCGAAGAATAGATTCTTTTGAACTATGGTGCTGGAGAAGGCTCTTGAGAGTCCCTTGGACTGCAAGGAGATCAAATCAGTCAATCCTAAAAGAAATCAACCCTGACTGTTCCCTGGAAGGCCAGATAATGAAGCTGAAGCTCAAATACTTTGGCCACCCAATGAGAAGGGAGCACTCACTGGAAAAGACCCTGATGCTGGGAAAGATTGAAGGTCAAAGAAGACGGGGACGGCAAAGGATGAGATGGTTAGACAGTGTCATAGATGCAACGAACATGAAATTGAGCAAACTTCAGAGGACGGCGGAAAACAGGAGGGCCTGGCGTGATCTGGTCCATGGGGTCGCGGAGAGTCGGACTCGACTGTGCGACTGAACAACAACAAAAGCTTTCGAGAAACACAGCTCTCTTCATCAGATGCATCTGACGAAGAGAGCTGTGTTTCTCGAAAGCTTATGCTACAATAAAGTTTGTTAAAGGTGCTACTGGCCTTTCTACTATTTTGTAGCTAGCTCCTCTGTGTTTCCCGTGGTTGTTGACACAGCACAGCAGCAAGTGGGCTTCCACACAGCAAGTTTTCCTGGTAGCTTTTATTTTTAAAGGCAATGACTTAATATCATTGTTATCAACAGGGCTCTTTTTGTAGAAAAAGCCCAGCAGGAACTCATTAGCATAACAGGCCACACCCAACAGCAGGCACACATTAGCATATTAGGCCACACCCCTAACAGCACAGCCAGCTCACTAGCACATTAGGCCGCACCCCCATGTTACCAGAAGTGTGGTAATCCAGCCACAGCCACCTTTTGCTTGTTATTCTGTTTACCTTGCTTGTTGTCAAAACCCAGGGCTTTTTTGTAGCAGGAACTCCTTTGCATGTTAGGCCACACACCCCTAATGTAGCCAATCCTAATGAGTTCCTGCTGTTGGGTGTGGCCTCTTATGCTAATGAGTTCCTGCTGGGCGTGGCCAACTTGGGAGCCAGCCGGAACTCTGTTCCTGTGCGTTCCTGCCCAAAAATAGCCCTGGAATATACGGTTAAGCTAAAATACTCCACAGGTTCTTTGAGTTCCCAGCTTTCATTTTTTTTTTTAAGTCAGTCTCTAGCCCTTTTGGAGTTATATGGGGAAAAGTATATCTCTGCAATAAAACGGGATAGAGAATTACTATTAAAAAAAAGGAATTCAGAGAATGCAGTGCAGATTTTGGTACAACAGTGTATGGATGTAATGCTGTTAAACTGCCAGGTAAAAAAAGAAAAGACTTTCTGCAGTGGGGGGAAGAAATGACTACTGCGGGGAAAATGGCTGCTGTGTGGGCAGGATGAGGGGAATCTAAATCTTGCTCCTCACAAGGAAGCTGCCAAGGCTTTGCTGCAATGTTTCCACAAACCAGGGACCAAAGCAGGCGTTGGAAACGTCAGAGAAATGCTAGCAAAAAGCTGGCATAGTGCACAAAAGCACTATGATGCCGTGGGGAAGCGGAACCCTTCTCCCTCCATACACACTTCCCAACGGCTCTCATGGGCTGTAGGTTCAGCACAGACAAAAGGACACACTCCTTTATACAGAGAGTGATTAAAATGTGGAATTCGCTGCCGGAGGATGTAGTGATGGCCACGGGAATAAACAGCTTTCAAAGGGGATTAGACTGATTTATGGAGGATAATTCTATCAGTGGCTACTAGTCATGGTGACTGAGGGGAACCTCCACTTTCAGAAGCACTAATCCTCTGAATCCCAGAACCAGGAGGCAACACCAGGGGAAGGCTTTGGACTCTGTGCCCTGTTGCTGGCCCTCCAGAGGGACTGGCTGGCCCCTGTGTGAGACGGGAGGCTGGACTAGAGGGAATCTCCCTGGTCTGACCCAGCAGGGCTCTTCTGGTGTCCTTATCAGGGGGAGGCCTCGGCCTCTCTGCCCTGTTGCTGGCCCTCCGGAGGGACTGGCTGGCCCCTGTGTGAGACGGGAGGCTGGACTGGAGGGACCCTCCCTGGCCTGACCCAGCAGGGCTCTTCTGGTGTCCTACTCAGGGGAAGGCCTTGGCCTCCCTGCCCTGTTGCTGGCCCTCCAGAGGGACTGGCTGGCCCCTGTGTGAGACGGGAGGCTGGACTGGAGGGACCCTCCCTGGTCTGGCGCAGCAGGGCCCTTCTGGTGTCCTTATGAGGGGAAGGCCTCGGCCTCTCTGCCCTGTTGCTGGCCCTCCGGAGGAACTGGCTGGCCCCTGTGTGAGACGGGAGGCTGGACTAGGTGGTCCCTCACTGGTCTGACCCAGCAGGGCTCTTCTGGTGCTCTTCTCAGGGGAAGGCCTCGGCCTCTCTGCCCTGTTGCTGGCCCTGCAGAGGAACTGGCTGGCCCCTGGGAGGGACGGGAGGCTGGCTGGCCCCTGAGAGGGACGGGAGACGGGAGGCTGGACTGGAGGGACCCTCCCTGGTCTGACCCAGCAGGGCTCTTCTGGTGTCCTTATCAGGGGAAGGCCTCGGCCCCTCTGCCCTGTTGCTGGCCCTCCAAAGGAACTGGCTAGCCACCATATGAAACAGGATGCTGGTCTAGAGGGGACCACTGGTCTGACCCAGCAGGGCTCTTCTGGTGTCCTTATCAGGGGAAGGCCTCGGCCTCTCTGGCCTGTTGCTGGCCCTCCAGAGGGACTGGCTGGCCACCATATGAAACAGGATGCTGGTCTAGAGGGGACCACTGGTCTGATCCAGCAGGCCTCTTCTTGTGTTCTTATTGGGCTCAGGGGAAATAATCTGTTACCAGCTATGCTAAGACGCAACTCCATGTTTAGATCTTGGCAAGAAATTTGAAATATAGTTAATCTAGGTTATGAGCCCAGATTCTTCTGTTTTAAGAATGCACGGGGTTGAGTGAGAACCAGGCAGGCGTCCCTGGAGAGAAGCGTGTGGGGCACAATCCTCACTTTGACTCTGGGTCTTCCCGCGACGTCCTCTTCGGAAGATGCTTTTTTACTAGATTCCTGTCCAAAAGAAAAGAGAGAGCGAAGAAGAAGCATGAAGGAAGGAGGCAGGTGAAAACACTGGCCTCTACTTTACGATCAGCAGCATCTTTGTTCGATTTATTTTTTTAGACATATCTAAACACATAGGAGCTGCGGTGGCTCAAGTGGTTAAGATGCTGAACTGCAGGCTGTGGAAGGTCGGTAGTTCAGCAGTTTGAGACCCGAGTGTGCCGCATGACGGAGTGAGCTCCCGTCTCTAGTTCCAGCTCCTGCCAACCTAGCAGTTCGAAAGCAAGAAATTGCAAGTAGATAAATAGGTACCACTTCGGTGGGAAGGTAACAGCGTTCCGTGCGCCTTGGTGTTTAGTCATGCCGGCCACGTGACCACGGAAACGTCTTCGGACAGCGCTGGCTCTTCGGCTTTGAAACGGAGATGAGCACCGCAACCCTAGAGTCGGACTCGACTGGCTTTCGAGCAAGGGAACTTTTACCTTTTTAACCTAAACACATAGGCTCGGGTGAACACCCCCAAAATAATTCTGATCTAGCAAGCCAAAGGTCTGATTAATTTCATATGGCTATTTCCTGTGGCTACACTGCCCTGGAAGGTTCTCTCTGGGGTGCTTTGAGCAGGACCATTCTCACCCGCATTTCCATGCGCGCATTATTATTTATTTATCTTTCGTTCCTAGTGCACCTTTCTACCTGGGACTCCAGTTTAAAAGGACCAGGCAGTAGGTGACAGGAAAGACCTCTGCCTGAGACCCTGGAGAGCTGCTGCCTAGCCTCTGACTTCGAAGGACCGAGGGTCTGACGCAGTTTAAGGCAGTTTCATATGTGGCCTGACAGGGCTCTTTTTGTAGAAAAAGCCCAGCAGGAACTCATTAGCATAATAGGCCACATCCAACAGCAGGAACTCATTAGCATATTAGGCCACACCCCTGACAGCACAGCTCATTAGCCCATTAGGCCACACCCCCATGTCACCAAAAGAGTGGTTATCCAGCCACACCCACCTTTTGCTTCTTATTCTGTTCACCTTGTTTGTTTTCAAAACCCAGGGCTTTTTTTTGTAGCAGGAACTCCTTTGCATGTTAGGCCACACACCCCTCATGTAGCCAATCCTAATGAGTTTCTGTGCTAATGAGCTGTGCTGTCAGGGGTGTGGCCCAATATGCTAATGAGTTCCTGCTGTTGGGTGTGGCCTGTTATGCTAATGAGCTCCTGCTGGGCGTGGCCAACTTGGGAGCCAGCCGGAACTCCATTCCTGTGTGTTCCTGCCCAAAAATAGCCCTGCCAGTGGCCATATATGTAACCTTGCAGAACCTGGGAGGAGGAAAACCATACCAGGGATATGGTGGGAAATAAAACCCGACATAAGGACACATTTTAAAATAAGAAAACAATCCTAGCCAAGGGGCCTCCTGCAGAACAGAATATTCTGGCACGGAAAGGAAGAGAAGACAGAAGGCAGTGATAACACGTCTCCAGCTCGGGAAAGAAAACACGCACCCACCGCCTCCTTCCTTCCAGGATTTGGGGGGGGGGGGGGGGAGAACTTATCCGGTTCGGGGGATCCAGCGACACATGGCACAATACACCGGGAATTCTCCATTCATCCCAATAAGGCTTACACAAGGAGGCATTTTTTGAAGGACCCCACAGATATATTGCCTTAGAGGTGTAAACCACACACGGATGATGTGTAAGCGGCCAGCAGCCTCGACAAGTTTTTGCAGCATTATAATATTCGCACCCATGGTTGCCAGCTTCCAGGTGGGTCATAAGAACATAAGAGAAGACAATGTTGGCTCAAGCCAAACGCCCACCCAGTAACACTCTGTGTCACACAGTGGCCAGAAATACCAGTGCCATCAGGAGGTCCAGCAGTGGGGCCAGGACATTAGAAGCCCTCCCACTGTTGACCCCCCAAGCACCCAGAAGACAGAGCATCAAGTAACGAATACATATACACGGCAAGAAACTTTTGTAAATTGACGTGTGCTGTTGATCACGGTCATTCCATAAAGTGCATTGTGTGCTATTATAACATCCTTGTCAGGTACATCTATTCAGTACATTCAGTATTAACAGCTAAGATTCATGGACAGAGCGCTCCTCTCTTTCTCAAGGCTCCGTCCATGAATCTTAGCGGTGCAATGTGTCTTTTGTAGGACCGGCCATAAGTATCAACACAACTATAAATGAAAGCTTCCCTCCACCCCTTTTTTGAAGACTTCATGCAAGTAGAAGCGGGCTTGTAATTCTGGAAACTCCCGTTGGGGCTTGACTTTTAAAATGCTGATGCAAAATTGACTGGTAGTTGTGAAACTGTATGAACAGAATGTTATTGTTATACTGAATGTACTGAATATTGCGCTTATTATTGCACCTCATCCTGAATTATTGCACCTCATCCTGAAAAGACGACTGAGGGGTGACATGGTTTATAAGATTATGCATGGGAAAGAGCAGGTAGAGAAAGAGGTACTTTTCTCCCTTTCTCACAATACAAGAACTCGTGGGCACTCCATGAAACTGCAGAGCGGTCGGGTTAGAACAGATAAAAGGAAGTCCTTCTTCACCCAAAGAGTGATTAACACATGGAATTCACTGCCACAGGAAGTGGTGGTGGTGGCTACAAGCATGGACGGCTTCAAAAGGGAATTAGATAGGCATATGTAGCAGAGGTCCATCAGTGGCTATTAGCCACAAGGTATAGATAGGGGCTCTGGGGCAAGTGATGCGCTGTCTTCTGGGTGTTTGGGGGAGGTCAACAGTGGGATGGCTTCTAATGTCTTGGCCCCACTGGTGGACCTCCTGAGGGCACTGGTATTTCTGGCCACTGTGTGACACAGAGTGTTGGACTGGATGGGCCTTTGGCCTGATCCAACATTGGCGTCTCTTATGTTCTTAATTAGGTTTAGCGTTTTGCCTACCCAACAGCAGCTGGGAATGGTCCCAGCCCACTACGAGTGAATGGATTGCTCTTTTCATTGAATTTTCTTTTACACTTCCCCCCTCTCTGTAACACTTCTGTTCCCCCTTCCCTTTCAGCTGCTAATGGAGGAACCGTCCTTTGCATCTGATGAAGTGAACTCCCACTCACAAAAGATTTATGTGGGAATACAGGATGTGGTGGCAGCTAGAAGCATAGACGGCTTCAAGAGGGTATCGGATAAACATCTGGAACAGAGGTCCATCAGTGGCTATTAGCCACAAGGTATAGGTAGGAGCTCTTGGTCTGGGGCAAGGGATGCTCTGTATCCTTGGTGCTTGGGGGGGAGGGCAACAGTGGGAAGGCTTCTAGTGTCCTGGCCCCACTGGTGGACCTCCTGATGGCCTCTGGTGTTTTTGGTGTGTGACACAGAGTGTTGGACTGGATGGGCCATTGGCCTGATCCAACATCGGCTTCTCTTCTGTTCTTATAAGAGGGAATTGGATCAACATCTGGAGCAGAGGTCCATCAGTGGCTCTTAACCACAAGGTATAGGTAAGAACTCTCGGTCTGGGGCCAGGGATGCTCTGTATTCTTGGTGCCTGGGGGGGGGGGCAACAGTGGGAGGGCTTCTAGTGTCCTGGCCCCGCTGCTGGACCTCCTGAGGGCACCTGGTATTTCTGGCCACTGTGTGACACAGAGTGTTGGACTGGATGGGCCATTGGCCTGATCCAACATTGGCTTCTCTTATGTTCTTATGTCTCCTTTGGAGTAAACAACAGCATGAAGGGGTGATTTGCCCTGGGAAACAGTGTGTGTGTGGAGGAGTGTTTAACTCCCCTATACTACGTCCTTCCTGAAACCAAATTTGAGTGGGGTTGCAGCCGTTTTCAGCCTTTTTTTTAAAAAAAGGAAAACTGATCCCAATCATGCATTATCTTTCATTTAAGCCGCTTCATGTTTTCCTTTTGTGTGTGCATGAAAAGCGTAGACATTTCAAGAACCGTCTTTATGCCGAACAGCTGAAAAGCCAAAAATAATCTGTCTTGTTTTTCAAGTTGCCCTGCTGGTTCTTCCTAACATTCCAGATTTCGAAAAGCAGAAAGGGAGAGGAACAAGCTGCCAAACAGCATAACAGAGCAAGGTGTTTTCAGGTGAGGGGCCCTGAGGAGAAGAAGAAGAAGAAGAAGAAGAAGGAGGAGGAGGAGGAGGAGGAGGAGGAG